CTACTTTTAGAAAACAAATCACGGGACGGGTTAAGAAGTTATAGGATGGGTTATATTTCAGAACGAAGTTATATGGTGGACGAGTTTGAATCAATATTTATAAAATTTTAAAATATCATTAACATGCCGCTTTAATACAGATTAAATCTTCAGTTTATTAAAATATAAATGACTTAGAGAATGATATGATTTGTAAACTTTTATATTTAATAAATAATAATTAAATTTTATAATAAAAACAAGAGAAATTGTTAAAAATACCCCTTTTCAAAAATGCCCCTTTTGAGAGTCCATTTTTAAGTTTGCCCTCTTTTAATTTTTAATGACCATTTTACCCTTATTTGAAACAAAATTAGGTCCACAAAATACAAAATATTTTTTGGCGGGAAAAGTGATCCCGCAATTTTCCCGCCAAAACACTTGTAAAAACCTTTAAAATACCTTGTATAATTTTCCCGCCAAAAATTTTTTTTTGCGGGAAAAGTGATTCCGCAATTTTTTTGCCGAAATTTTTTTGGCGGGAAAAATTTACAACGTATTTTAAAGGTTTTACGGAGTATTTACAAGTGTTTTGTAAGGTTTTACAATGTATTTTAAAAGGTTTTACAAGGTACTTATAAGGTTTTATAAGGTATTTATAACTTGTAAAACCTTATAAAAAACTTGTAAAACCTTATAACTTGTAAAACCTTATAAAATAGCTTGTAAAATCTTATAATATCTTATAAATACTTTATAAATACGTTGTAAAACCTTTTAAAATACATTGTAAAACCTTATAAATACCCTGTAAAAACCCTTTAAAATACCTTGTAAATTTTTCCCGCCAAAAATTTTCCTGCCAAAAATTTAACGCCAAAAAATTTGCGGAATCACTTTTCTCGCAAAAAAAATTTTTTGGCGGGAAAAAATTTTACGGGAAAATTTTACAAGGTATTTTAAAGGTTTTACAAATTTTTACAAGTGTTTTGGCGGGAAAAATTGGGGGATCACTTTTTCCGCCAAAAAATATTTTGTATTTTGTGGACCTAATTTTGTTATATTTCCTTATATATTTATGATATCTTTTATTAAAAGAAGGGTAATTTAGTCATTTTGTACATAAAAGGGGTATTTTTAAAAATGGACATCCAAAAGGGGCATTTTTGAAAAGGGGTATTGAAAAAGGGGCATTTTTGTGAGTCTCCCTAAAAACAAATCACGGGACGGGTTAAGAAATTACAGAATGGTTTATATTTCTGAACGGGTTTATATGGCAGATGAATTTGAATCAATATTTATAAATATCATTAACATGCCGCTTTAATACGGGTTAAATCATCAGTTTATTAACAATTGTCTCATGGACTCGTGGTATACCGTTACTTATAAACAATTGTTAAGTATAATATAAATAAATATTTTATAAAGATATATAATTTACAAAATATTTTTAATACTAACTTTAAAAATAAATCATCCTGCGGTATACCACGGGTTAAAATCTAGTACTTTAGCATAATTATATATATAAATACTTGTTCCAATATGAATTAGGGAGATTTTACAAGTTTTTACAAGGTATTATAAGATTTTACAAGTTTTTTATAAGGTTTTACAAGTTATAAATACCTTATAAAACCTTATAAGTACCTTGTAAAACCTTTTAAAATACATTGTAAAACCTTACAAAACACTTGTAAATACTCCATAAAACCTTTAAAATACCTTGAAAATTTTTCCCGCCAAAAAAATTGCGGAATCACATTTCCCGCAAAAAAATTTTTTGGCGGGAAAAATTTTTACGGGAAAATTATACAAGGTATTTTAAAGGTTTTTACAAGTTTTTTGGCGGGAAAATTGCTGGATCACTTTTCCCGCCAAAAAATATTTTGTATTTTGTGGACCTAATTTTGTTTCAAATAAGGGTAAAATGGTCATTAAAAATTAAAAGAGGGAAACTTAAAAATGGACTCTCAAAGGAGGTATTTTTGAAAAGGGATATTGAAAAAGGGACATTTTTAACAATTTCTCTATGAATTATCTATGTAAATTGAAACAAAAATCTACTCATCCGTAAAAGAATTTTTTCTATATGAGTACATTGTAAGATATACAGTTTGGAATATGAAAAGTGGTATACTTTTACGTACTGTCCTGTTCAGATACTTGTATACAGTTGAATACAATAAATGCCTTCACAGCTATTTTATCTACTGTGAAGAAGCTTATTTATTGCAAAAATATAGTAGGGATTATTGTTGATTTTGTCATTTTCCATCAACATTTTTTGAAAATATCAGTTTTACTAAAATCTTACGGATTTGTCATTTTTTAACACTTAAAAATATACGTATATATGTATTTTATACCAAATATTAAACTCTATGAACAAATGAAACCGACTAAACCCAAACATAATAGGTAAAACGCATGTTAAATCACATTTTTATAGTCTAAAAAGGCGAAATTCACAAATTATTCAAAAAGGACAAAATCCTCAAATGCCCTTAAAAAAATGACAAATCCGCAATTGATTCAATATAGTATCTTCTAAGGTATTTTTAAAGCAAAAAAACTACCATTAGATTATTTCATATATGTATCATTGGTGTTTTAAATTTTTTTGGTTTTGTCTTTGGAGTGATTCAGATGATACTTTACTTGATCTACAAGAAACTCCGAACAGAAATCTTGCTTTAAAATTTGAACTAAATGTGTTTCATATCATCAATATGAATCAATTAAATCTTAGCTTTAAACAGAACAAAATAATAAATAAATAAGTGTTACCTTATTCTTCATTTTTTTTTGTGTGCACAAGTGTTATCTTACATTGATTTTCTTGACAAAGAAGATGAAAAAGGAGAAACAAATATTTCGACAAGAATGACATATGTTATCCTCACATAAGTAAGAGAGACTGAAAAAAACAAGGGTAATATTAGAAACTAACCTTTGACCAAAAAGTTATTAAGAAAATAGCCATGGATTTATTTTTTGTTAGAAAATGACTATGGTCCCACGCTTTAGAGGATGTGTATTAACGAAAACACCTTCTTCCATTTACAAGCAGCGACCGATTTGTTTGTTACAACTAAAATTATATCAGAGATGAAGAGTTACATCTATTCTTTTAATAGATCTGAAGAGAGAGAAATTTGACGGTAATAAGCAGCGGGGAAGATCCGGCAGCAAAAGTCCGACAACAAAAAACATATATCTAGCGGTAGAGAGAGAGAGAAACAATCCGGCGAAAGGAAGAGAGAGAAATAATCCAGCGAAAGAGAGAAACAGAAATTTGGAGAGAAAGAGCTAAATCTCTCTAGATGGATATTTACTTCGAAACACAGAGAAATCCGGTAGAGATCCAAAGAGAATGAGAGAGAAGATCTAAGTAATTTTACAAAAACATGAATTTTGGAAAAAAAATCATATTATCTAGAAAAATTAATGTGTTATTTAATAAATACAATGTTTAAAACAAAAATACATGTTACCTATGACAATAGCATAGTCGTCCGTCTTCAATTGTGAGTTTCAGTGATAGAAAATGGACCGGAGTTGCAGAAATATCATGGAATATGTAAAATTTACAAGATAACTAACATAATTACGTGTTATATGAAAACACTAATGTGTTTTTTAAAGCATAGTGTGATATATTGAAAGATAGTGTGGTAAGCTAAAAAATAGCACGTTAAAAGTAAAAAATTAGTTGCACGAAATAAAATCACACGAAATTCAAAGAAAACTTCAAAAAAAAATTACAGATATCATCGGCGGCGAAAATCTCAAAGAAAGTGATTCGGGGAGAGAGAAAGAGATCTCCACTGATCTTAGTACAAATAACGATTAACGAGAGAATTCAGTCAAAAAAAGTGTTGGACCTTCACCAATGAAGAGCACGAGAAAGACTAAGTGAAATTTTGATGAACGTAAAAGAGCTTAAACCGGAGCGGTGGTGGTGATTTTCTGGCGATTGGTGGTGGTATTTCATCACAGGTGATAATAGAAAATAGAACTTCATCGTTTTAGTCTTTTTAGAAGAAAGAAAAACAAAATAAGATGGGTATATTTGTAATTGCCATTGAAGAAAGAGAATGCTACAGTAGTCATGGTTATTTTCTTAATTTCTTTCTAGAATTTGGCTAGTTACTACCTATTCTCAAAAAATAAGCTCTCTCAAAAACTTCCATTACGGAGAAAAACAAAAAAATGTCTCCCCTACAGCTTTGGCATTGCCACCAACACTAATAATGTAGTCATGATATATATATATATATATGTTGTTAAACAGAGGATTACTTTTGCCCCGTAAATAAACAGAGGATTACTTTCTGTAATCTTAGTTGTGTTGTTCTCTTAAGGTTTTTCTTATTACTTGTTCGTTCGGAAAAAAAAAAAAAAAAACAGTATAATCAGGGCTGACTCAACATTTTTTTTGGGCCCTAGAGAAATTGTGAGCCCTTAGAATTTTTTTTGCATTAAAAATTTTTGTATGATATTTATATTAAAAACTAATTTTAAAACCAAAAACAATACATAAAAAAATTAGGCCTTTCTAAATTTTGTTTTTATGTTGTAATCTAAATTACTAATACTTTTTTAAAAATATTTTTAAAGATGGACCATTTAATTATTGGAACACGAGATTGGACCTCGGACCGTCGCACCGTCCGCCCCTATATGAGCCGGCATTGAGTATAATCGAAATTATCCACCTTTGGAACCAATTTATTTTTTTGATCATCTTTTTTCATATATAGCTTGATTATTTTTGTTGGCAATTGATGTATATTATTATATTATTAAATTTAGAATTCTTTTTGTTTATAATAGTTTGATAAACACTATTTATTTTTAGCTAAGTTATTTTAGTTGCACTTAATGTTATTTTTAGCGTTGAATTTAATCAAAACTGTTTATCATCGCCCTATTTTCAGTATGTCGATGGTCATGCACTAGTATAATTTCTCTATCGCCGTCGCGGCGATGAGGAAAATAACATGCCATTTATCTTAATAAAACTAATCAAAGCCATAGATATCAGAAAAATACATACTTATCGACCGACATTGGAAAATCCACACTTAAAAAGTGTACAACATCATTAGTTGTGGCCATGATAAGAGGATAATTCATAAAAATAACCAGAAAAGGAAAAACAAAACAACCTAAAAACAACAACAAAAACAAAAGCAAATGCATTACTAAAAAACAAAAGAAAAGGAAAAAAAAATAAGGTGAGAAAAAGAAAGAACACAAAAAAGATACTACTACTTTTTTTTTTGGCTTCCTTCCTAATAATATTCATAACGGCCGTCTCAATCACACAGATATCTTCAAACCCTATCATCCGCCGCCGCCACGTCATCTTTAACTTTTCCCATTTCCACCTCCATCTCTCCGCCGTCTTCCGTCGTCTTTACGCCGGAATATTCTCCCTTCTCCTTCTCCTCCTTCTTCATCTTCATATACATCCCGTAGATGTACGATGAGAATCCCCAAATACATAGCACCGTCGACACAATCTTCACTCCACCAAACTCATCACCGTAAACCACCACACCTCCTATCACATTCATCGCAAGCAACGCCGTCATGCAGATACCTCCGGTGATACCTGAGGTCAAGTAAACTATCCCTGACGTGGCTGCGAAACAGAGCTGCCACGTCACCACATTCGCAAAAATCGCAACCGTCCAATAAACTGTTGGTCCTTTGGTGAAAACATGGTTAGCTTCCTTAACCATTTCTCTAAACCCGCCGTCGAAAACCATACCGATTGTCGCGAAAACCGTGGCAGCGAATTCCATCACCAGTTGCACCTCCATGACCATCGCGTAACAATAAACGCTACGGTATAGCTTCTCCGTCACGGGGAGGTAAAGAGCGAAGAGTAAACCGGCTCCGATCGTGGATACAAACCCGATGTAATACTTGGTTTTAGTTAAACCGGCCGGTTTATCTCTACTCGAACCGAGAGCCAACAAAACAGAGCTTAACGTCAAGAGAACAACACAGTTGAGGTTTGAGAAATTGATCTTCTGTTTCACAATGATCGCAGACAAAATGAGAGTGAAGACGAGTTGTGTCGAGAGGAGAAGCGATGACGTGGACACCGGAAGGTACGAGGTTCCCCATGAGAAGAGGAAGTTGTTGAAACCGAGAACAAACCCGATCAACACGGAGAAGATGAGATGGCGGCGCGTGAAGCGCGTGAAAGGACGGCGGGTGGTGGTTTTGAAAACATAGCGAGGGAAGTAGATTAGGGTGAGGAGGAGAGGGAAGCCAGCGGACTGAACCCACGTCGAGACCCAACGGCTCGAGCCACCGTGGACGAAGTAGTACTTCGCGAGAAGGCTCGAAGCGATGGAGCCGACGAAGAGACAAACGTAAGTGACGATTAGGAGAGTGTGAGATCTCTTAACCGGTGGTTTAACCATGTTCTCTTGTTGTTGTTGATCTGCGTTAACTCGACCATCACTCATTTTTGCCTCTTTGTGTTTTTATAATCTCTTCTTAATTATCTTTTTGTTTATTTCTTGTAACTGTGATTTTGCATGAAGAGAGAAAGGAGGAAGAAGGAGAAGTGTTGAAAAAGCGTTGATGGTTCAGTCTCCAACAACACAAACACACTTCACTCATGTATATATTGTGGATTTTATCGAAATTAAGATACTAATATATTCATTATTATATTCATAGTCAAATAAATTCATTTTTCAATTAATGTGATGCACTGCATTCAGTCGTTACTAAAGTGGGTATTAAGAGATTATCGAAATATTTAGTTGGGATTTCCAGCTTGTCATTCATATGAATATGCTTCTAGTGAGGGAATCTTCTATACAATGATCAAAATTTTCCCGTAATAACATTTTTCATTCAAAAAATATAAATTTATCATCTAAAATCTGTTAATATCTTTTTTTCACAAAATAAAAGCAATTAATGTTATAAGCTTGATAATTACGAAAATTAAGTAATATTAAAACCTTTGAATTGATAAAGAAGAAAAAAGAAATTTTTTGGTAATTTTGCTCAAAATCTTATCCTCACGAGTTTAATAGTAGAAAATTTTCCCTAAAAAAAGTTTATCCATTAAATATTTCTACAAAAATAAATTTCCCCTAAAGTTTTTTAACCAATACAAGTAAGACATATGTTATTTAGTAAATATTTAATCAATAATATAACCTATATGACCATTTACTTTAAGCAATAAAATTAAAACAGCTATAATTTATAACCTATTTGATAAATGCCAAAAAGAAATATTTGACTAAATATTGTAGAAACTATATAACCTATTTGACACATGTAATTTATCAAATAATTCTCATATGTTTATGGCCAAGAACTTCAATTAAATTAATAAGAATTTATTTACACATACATAGTTAGTATATATCAAACCATAAATTATGTGATGAACATGATTTACTTTTATATTAATGAGATTTTATACACTAAAGCGTATTAAGTTATTAAGTGAAGACTTTTACCCAAAAACATTTGGGTTGCAACTTGAGATATAATCAAATAATGTTTTCTAACTAGTTGAATAAAAAAAGAAAACTTTCACTAACTTAAAACTAATAACATATATATACATATATATATATATATATATATATATATTCATAGGGATTATTACGGATTTTGCCCTTTTTTATAATGACATTTATGGATTTTGCCCTTTTTTGAATTGTTTATGGATTTTGCCTTTTTTTTAACACTTAAAAATGTACGTATGTATGATTTTTTTTGCAAAAATACGTACATTATACCATATACTTTACCCTAAGTACAAATGGTACCACTAAACCCAAACATAACGAATGAAACGCATGTTAAATCATATTTTTGAAGTCTAAAAAAGGGCAAAATCCTTAAACAATTCAAAAAAGGGCAAAATCCATAAATGCCATAATAAAAAAGGGCAAAATCCGTAATTAATTCTATATTCATATGAAATTCAAAATCACAAGCCCATTCGGTTTTACATTATTTTAATCAAATCAAACTTAAACTGATGATTCTTTAAGAAATGCTAGCCAAATGAGTTTTAAAATTTAAACAATCTCGAATCGAACCATCTATTTTTGGGTTACAGACTTACAGTATATTATTTACCCTAAAATTAATGGTTTTGATAATTTTACATTATATCACTCTTAGAAAATACATATTCTTCAAATAGGACAATGTTTAGCCGAAAGCATTTTTAAAAGAAGGAAAGAGATTTACTAAATACAAAACACATTTTCCTGCTGACCACAAAACAACAAAAATTCAATGTGTCTATCGTTAATGTAAATATATAGTGAATGACATAAATATATTAATAAATTCATTTTAACCGTTACCTCTTGGTTAAAAATTAATTAAGATTTCATTCACTTATGCATGGTAATGTGTATTTCATGTAACTATGTATGTAGACCGGAAGTCTAATGCTTTGACTGGTTTTTTCTTAACGATATAATGCTTTTTCAGCTAAAATGAATTTTACTTTGGTTTTTTTTTTTTCTTAATTTTCACCTATCAAAAAAAATGAGAGGATACAAAAAAATTTAGTACAATAAAAGTAGAAAAGAAGAGGAACCAAAGGATAATATTTATCTTGTTTTTTCTTCTAATTCCATTGTATACTCTATTTTTTTTGGTGTAAACCATTGAATACTCTAATTGGTCACATTTAATTGTATCCATTTATAACAATCTTATCAAAATATTTTCTCGTAGACCCCTACTTTCAGAAATAGAGTACAGAGATTTTGTGGCACCGATGATCTAGAAAATCTAGATGTTACTGTTTAGCGTGCAAACTAAAAATAAAGAGAAATCTCCTTAATTTTAAAAATGAAATAAGATCTAATAAAAGGTTTAATTCTAACGAAAGAATAATCTAGCTGGTTTAAGAGAAGAAAAATAAATGAAAATTTTCCATATAGCTCGCTTTTAAATTGCATATTAAAAATAGGGTTTTTTTTTGTTTCACGTATAAGAATATGGTTTTTAAAAAGGGAAACTGAAAAATATTTCTCAGTTTTAAACGGATTTTTGTTATCATTCTTAATATTTTGAGAATCTTCATTTTGGAAATCTTTGATTTTGAATAATCGTTTTGAAAGTGAAATATATTTTATCGAATATATAACACAAATCTTTCGTAAAAACAACTAACTAATCACTTTATCAAAAACAAAAAAAAAAAGCAGCTAAATAATCTTCATGATTTCAAAAACAGATATGATAATCTCCGTAAATATAAAAGCAATAACAACAACCTAAATAATCGGATGTCAAAGTTGTTAATGAGATTTTGCTGTTATGATTATGTCACCTATTGAATTTTTTATATATTTTTTTGGTAAGCTTGAATTTTTTATATATATATATATATATATATATATTTTAACTATTAGATAATACAAATCTGTTTGACTATTGGATAATTATACATCTATTTAAAATCCAGAAGTTAGTTTTAAAATTTTATCATATATAAGTACTGTAGATATATATTGGAAGAAGCAAGCTGACAAGTGTAATTGGTGAAAAAATATGGGAAAGTACAAAAAGGTTTTGGAATAAGGATTTTACTTTAATTAAAAAAATATAACACAAGCACAGACTATTTTTGCATTGAATGTTTTCAAATTCAATTTGACTTTCTCTCTCTCACTTTTTCACACCAACTTCAATGCATTTATTTAATTTGTGTTAATCTTTTTTTCTTTTGAAATTAGTTAATTTTCTTAATCAATTAATTATTATTTTTTTCATTTGATTAATATTGATTTGAAAAGTTTATAAAACAAATGAAAAAACAACTATGAATCATAAGAAAAACAAATGTCATGTACAATCCTATATAGGATGATAACAAATTTTAATAATGCCATAATGAAGATCCATATCACAATTCACAACATTGCTTCAAGTTTTCAAATGATCATCAAAGTGAATTTTTGCTTCAAGTTTTCAAACTCAAGAGACCCTTTGGCTTATGTCGACACTTTGATTGACTTTGGGACTAAAAAGTGGAAGTTGGACCTTCTTCGGGAATTGTTTCCTCCAGAAGAAATAACCCTCATATTAAAGATAAAACCGAACCTTAAAGTCTCGAGTGATGGATATTGTTGGACAATGACAAAGTCTGGTAATTACACTGTCAAATCTAGATACGAGGCCGCGAGAAATATTTCTCGCCCTGTTTGCGACCACCCTTCTCAGGGACCTAGTATTGCGACACTAAAGGCGCAAGCTTGGAAATTAAAAACTATGCGAAAATTAAAACATTTCGTGTGGTAATGTGTGATTGGTTGTTTGGCTTCGTGTCAACGACTATTTTATCGCCGTATTGGTAGAGATAAAGGATGTTCAAGATGTGGTGCAGCAGAAGAAACGATCAATCACTTGATCTTTGAATGCCCTCCTGCTAGACAAGTCTGGGCCCTCTCCAATATCCCATCCTCTCCAGCCTTGTCCCCCTCACCTTCACTGTACAATAATTTAGATTATCTGTATTGGCGGGTTAAAGAGGCAGGTGCGGATGAAGAGAGCCTAAGAGTATTTCTATGGATCATGTGGTATATCTGGAAGGCGCGCTATTGAAAGATTTCCTGAGGTGTCTCTTCGAGTTATCGTCAATTGTGTCATCCCCCATCTGCAGAGTTTTTTTTTTGTCAATCAAGCACCATATATTAATTCACGGAAAATAACTCTCTTCTAGAGAGAGCCAATCGGGTACTGTCGAACTTACATGGCAAAAACAGAACCCACGACCTCTTGCACATTTTGCAAGATGATCGACGAAAGTATTACCACTACGAGGGATATGCTTCAAACTAAATGTAGAAAATAAATCCCTGTAATACGCAAAATCCAACAACTATGTAGAAAACGTGGGCCACTCCTCGGAGTTAGAAGTCATTTTTTAAAGATCCGAGCAATCCGTCAAAATGAGTATGCTCGTCATAGAAAAAGCCACTAAGCACTTCATCGTCCACAATAGAGTCTCCAGTTCCGCATGAAGGGGGGAAAAACTTCTACGCGAACCTTTTAATCCTAAGTGCAACATTCTTCCTCCACAATAAACAAGCCATCCATGCCCACTCCTAGCCTCCGCCCCATGCCAAGACCCATCAATATAGCAAACCGGTCTATCCTCGGGAATTGACGTCACTTGCAGGCTATGGTCCGACGCGGCCTGGGGATCTTCTTGGTGATTTGCTTGCCTCCACGCTCCTTCCTCTTGAATTGCTAGGTCTAAAGTTTCCTGAGGTGGTACACATGATCCATAGAAATACTCTTAGGCTCTTTCAATTGAAAGATTTTTAAGGTGGTACACATGATCCATAGAAATACTCTTAGGCTCTTTCAATTGACGATAACTCGAAGAGACACCTGACATTCTTTGGAATTGATGCGTCTCCACCTCCGATTACCTTTACCAAAATTATCATGATTGATAAAGTTTCGAAAAGCCCGCTCACTGACCCGTCGTCATACAACCTAAAATCTCACAAATTCCAATCGCCAAAACAAGAAACATTTACAACATTGACATAGATAAATGACTAACAATAAGGGCACAACTCTAGTTAGAAGATCTATCTTT